ACGCCGCGACGGGGCACGCCAAGGCCGCGGTAGCCGCCGCCCAGAAGCACGGCTGCCGCCAGCAGTAGGCGCCCGCGCGCCCGCGCCGGCGGCGACGGGCGACCGGCGGCGTCTCGCCACCGGGACGTCTGTTGCGCCGGCCGGTGATGTCTTATCCAGCCTGCCACCGCCATCTGGGGGTTTGAAGAAGCTGTGCTTCACCGTGCGGCGCCGGCAATCACACGCAGGGGGAAAGGGCGGGGTGTTGATTGAGCACTGCGGGCGCTTGTTTTGACTTGACGGGGCTGAGAAAAATGTGCATCGTGGCTCGGAGCGCGTGCACAGTCGGACATGCCGCGCGCACCAAAGGCTAGGGAAGGCCTGCCGCCGCTGGGCAGCCGTCGCGCGGACGGCGAGGCCACCAGGAAAGGCGCATACTTGAGCCATCGCACGCGCGCGCGCACGCTAGGGCCGCGCCCGCGCTGGGGCCGCGCCAACAATTTGCGTCAGGGCGGACACGCATGTGGCGCCTCGTGCGGCTCGGCCGCGAGGCCCGCGCGCCAGCGCTGCACTGCACGCGCTGCGGCTGCGGGCGCGCGACGCCTGTGGGCCTGCCACCGATTGCCTGTTGGCCCCAGCGGTGCAGCCGCGAGGTTCTCCGGCTCGGGCGCGCCTCAGGGCGCACGGCCCCCCGCAGCCGTGCGCGGGGGCGCCGGGCCCTGGGGGCGCGGTCGGCGCGGGCGGGGCGGAGGGACAGAGGACGGGCCCCGGGCTGCCGTGCCCGCCGCGGGCGGGCGGGCGGAATGAGCCCGGAGCGGCCTGGCTGCGGATTGAATCAATTGCAGTTTATCGTGTAGCGCGTGTAAGCTTCTCACTGCCAAGTCTGGGTACAGGTGCCATTGCGGGTGATGACTGCTGGGCAGCGTGTGGTCACTTGTACCGCCCACACCTACACCTGATTTGCGATTCCGGCGCATTGCTAGTGCTCGACTCGGCCGCCCATGTTATGGGATGACAGGTGAAGTGCCTTTATGGGACGTCAGCAGGCCTCTACCAGGGTACGGTCGGCAATTCAGCAAAATTCTGCATCCCAAACCGAAACACAGCTCTGTGCCTCGCCCAGTGCGAAGATTGCGGGTGACAGCAGGCAGGCGCAGCGGTATGCAAGGTCATAGAGTTTAAGTGCGGCACGCTGCATCTCCTGCAGCATCGTCAGGGAGGGACCACGGCCCCTGCACCCGGAATCCTTCACTGCTCCTCTGTGCATAAGGGGGGCAGCTACTATATCATTTGCTGATTTAACGTTCCTGATCTTGCATACGCCATTCACATACTCACTTGGCGGTCATCAGCGTGATCTGCGGAAGTGTCGGTGGGTCTCGCTGGGTAACGTATATCACAGATATTGTACGCGCAAAGCGTCGCATTATCTATGCCGGGTAACTTCATGCACAGAGGGAGCAGTGGGCCGTCGATGCCATCACCGCTGGCTCCGCCAGGCACGCGCCTGCGCCTCACCCGCGCCACACCTCCCGCAAGCTACCGCGGCGCGTGCAGAATTCACATACATCTGTCGGCCCACCCGCCACCTGCGCCCAGGCCTCCGAAACGATCTCACGAGCCGCGGCGCCGATGGATGACCTGGCGCCATTGAGCCAGGTGTGCGCCCTGCGGGCGGGCGGGGCGGACCCAGGGCCACCATTGCCGCCGCCGCCGCCACACAGCCCGCGCAGCGCGCCATGCGTGTTTCCCTCCACTCACGAGCACAAGGGGCGGCTGTCACCCCCCCCTCCCCGGTCCTACCCCTACCTGCTAGCCTGCACCGGCGCGCGCCGCCGCGCCGCTCGTGTTTCACCAACCCTCAGCACACGCTCTTGACAGCCCTCACCTGCCTTCCCCCGTTGCACCGGCCCCACCCCCGCGGGCGCGCCTTGCAATCCCCGCGCGCGCGCCGCGCTGCGGTTGAGAGCAGCTGCTGGAGAGGACCAAAGTGCGGGACATTGCTGCTGACCAACAAGACATCGTTTCCCTGCAGGTGCGCCGACGCGACGCAGGCTGCACGCCGGACCCGACCCTGACCGGATTCGTGACTCAGTCACGAAAGCGTGTGTCGGCGCCGCCCCCTCCGCCCCTCATCACTGTGACGGCGAGCCGCCTCGGCCCGCCGCGCGCCTGGCTTCGTTTTTTTCGCTGGCGGGGACGACACGGAGTGCACCCATAGGGCAGCTGGTGACCAGGGGCGGTCCCTCTCGACAAACACACAGCCGCCTCCCTGTTTGCACCCTCCCAAAAACGCACCGAACAGTGCTTTGGCCCCCACCTGTGCCGCCCACCTGCCAGCACGCTGCGTGCACCTCACAACGCCCCGCTCCGCCCCAAACAATTTGCGAGCCGCCAGCACAACAACACGGTGGGCGAGGCGCTGCGCCAGCTGGCGGCGGCGCGCGTGCTGTCGGCGCCGGTGGTCGTCAGCAGCGGGCTGGAGGACTTTGAGAATGGCGGCCTGCCGCCTGGGGACGCGGCGCCCTCCCTCCTCGGATGGCTGGTGCGCTCCCGCGATTTGCGAGTCTTGTGTTGAATGGCGTGTCCGCCGGGCTGCCGCCAGGGGCGCGTCCAGACGTCCTCCGGCCGCCTCGGCTTCACAAGTCAAAGGCCCCACAATCAATGAGGCGTTACGGGGGAGGCCTGCGCGCCGGCCCCGCCCCCAGCGGCCCCGCGCCACTGCCATGCCTCGGCTATGGGGTGGCCCTGCGGGCGCTTGCCTTTGCCGGGGCGGCGAAAGCGGACACAACCCCAGCTGCCTACGGCGGGCCCTCAAACTTTGCAGTCAGCCGGCAGCCCCTTCGCGCACGTATTGGTTATGTGCATGTCATCCGTGTTGTCGTGTTAAACGCCACCCTCGTCATCTCATCCGCTCCAGGACGTGAGTGACGTGGTGAGGGCGTTCCTGGGGCACCTGCATGAGAAGAAGGTGGCGCTGCCAAAGAGCATGCTGCAGGTGATCTGGCGCCGCGTGATCTGGTGCCGCGTGATCTGGCGCCGCGTGATCTGGTGCCGCGTGATCTGGTGCACGTAGCCCCTCCTGCAAACCTTCCGACATGACCGCGATCTCGCGGATGTGTGCCGGCGACGAACGGGCGCAGTCGGCCCCCTGCTCAGAAAACGGTCGGGTCCTTGGGCCGGCAGGAGCATGTTTCAAAGCAGTCGAGCACCTTCCGTCTAGCCGCGCGCACAGCGCGCCGCGCGTGTCAGCGACACACTGCGGCCCCCCGCTGATTTGCAATTCCCTCAGAATCAACCTCCTCGCTTGTCCAAAACCGCTGTGATTGCATTCCCTGATTTTCTCTTCAACTTTTCGACGGCTGCGCCGCAGTTGATGGCGCTGCTGGAGAAGGAGGGGCCGGACTTTGCTGACAAGATGCTGGTGACCATCGTGGGTGGGTGACCGCCGGGTGACTGGGTGACAAAGTGACGGCGTGACTGGTGTGCGGCGGGTGACTTCTATGATTGAGTGCTCGTGGGCGCGCCTCTGCGCACGTGCTCGCACGCAATCGGACGTGGGGGTGCGCCCACATCACCCAGACTGGTGGCTGTCTGTCTTGCGCCCCGTTTGCCCTACTGGGGCGCTTGGACACACTCAGCATTTGCAGGTTGTGGTGTTTGCTTGAAGGCCTCCACCCGCGCCCGCGCCGCGCCTCGCCATGCCGCCCCTGCCCGCAAACGCAAACGCGCCCCAGGGGGCGAGGACCGCGGCCTGCTGTACCAGGCCGACGCGGGCACCAGCGTCATCGCCGCCATCCAAGGTTAGCGCGGCGCGCAACCTCGCGAGATCAGATCAGATCAGATGCCGCGCGGCGCCGCGCGGCGCGGCGCGGTGACGCGCGCGGCGGCCGGCTCGCCGCGGCCGGTTATGGCGTCAGAAGCCAGGAGGCGCTGGGCCGCAGGGGAAGGGGGCGACAACGTGCGCCTCCTGCCTTGACAGCCTTGCGCAGTACCAGCCGGGCTCAGTCGAGCGGCCCTGCGTCCCGCATCCACCCTTTCACCTGCCCCTCTCGCCTCGTCCCCATTGTCACTTGACTGATGTGCTGACTGATCATATCTTGCACACCCGGAATAGGATTCTTTCTGGACTCTCCAGTCGCAGCATCCGCCGGCCCCACCCCTATGGACGTTTCGGCTGCGCCCCCCGCCGCTGCCGCCGCCACGGCCGAGCCCGCGCCCGCGGCGGCGGGCGAGGGCCCTGCTGGCGCCGCGCGCGGCGCTGGCGGCGGCGGCGGCGGCGGCAGGAGGGTGGTCCACCGGCTGGCGGTGTTCAACGCTCTGGGTGGGCGCCCTCTGCCACAGCTGCCGCATGCACAATTTGAACGCCACGGGCCTGCGCCGGCGCCGCCCCGGCCGGCATTGGGGCGGGGCGGGGCGGGGCCGGATTGTTGCGGGCGGTAGGGAAGGGGGTGCTGCGGGGCAGCTGCCTTGCGGGGCGCGCACCGGCTCAGACGAGTCACGACTGCCCGGCCTCTTCCATGGTGGATTTTCTCACCTTGCCGTACCTCGTCCCATGTGATCTCTGCCCAGGCGAGATCACCCACATCGTCAGCCAGACCGACGTACTAAGGTGAGTCACCAGGACGCACCGCCGACTCATCGCCGAAAGGCGGGCTGCTGCGTGTGCCCGCCGGCTCATCTCCAAGTAAAGGCGCTCGAGGCGCGGGCGCCTGCCTGTGGATGGCACATTGAACAAGAAATGGCGGCTGGCAGGCCAACACTTCTTATCATGTAAACTCGGCGACAGCTCTGCACGCGCATTCATGCAAGCACGCGTGCACGCACACTCACTACACAGACACACACACACACACACACACACACACACACACACACACACGCACACGCGCACACACACGCGCACACGCACACACGCACGCACGCACGCACACACGCATGCACGCGCACACACATTACAAATCATGCAACAAAGGCATCTCCTGAAGCATCGTGACGCCATAGGGCCCGTGGGGGCCCGCCCCATTTCCGACCTCGGCCTGCTGGAGGGCAAGGGCCCGCTCGTCGCGCTGCAGCCCCACACGCCCACGCTGCTCGCTTTCGAGCAGCTAGCGGCCGCAGGCGAGAAGCTGCCCAGCAGCTGCGCCGCTCGCGGGGCCGGGGAAGGGGGGCCACCTGGCCAAGCGGAGTCTTGGGTGCTCGGGCGCGCGTTGACTCGTCTGTCGGCCGCGGCGTGTGTGCGGCAGGGAGGTCGCTGCCGCACGGCGGCCGGACGGGGGCTGTCTCCGAGGATGGCGTCACGTGGGTGCTGGGGCCGCCGCATCCTTCGTACACCTCACAGCCCCTGCAACCGCCGCAACTGCCGCGCCCGCAGGCGTCACCGGGGCGCCCGTCATCGCGAGCGACGGCGAGCTGATCGCCAACCTCAGCGTCTCCGACATCAGGTGACAAATGATGACGTCAGCGGGTGACGCCGTCGGCGGGTGACGCCGCCGCCGCATGTCACCGCGCGTTGTGCGGCCCAGCGCGGGTGCCGGCAAACGCCGGGTCGCGGATGCCGGCCCAGACCCCGGCCGCCACCCCCCTGCAGGTCTTTTTACAATCAAGCGCTCGGCGGCTTGTCTGCCCTGCGTCCGCCGCGCGGCGATCCTGGGGGAATTGGGAAAGTCGCAGTAATGGCGATATCTGTCCATTCATGACGCCAGGCTCTCACCCGACCCCATCTAAAATTGTGCCACCTCGCAGGTGCATCGAGCCGGCTCACTTCGGGATCCTCGCGCTGCCGCTTGCGGAGTTCCTCGCGCTTTCACACGGAACTTCCTACCTGGGTTACTCAGCGCGCAGTAGCAAGGGCGCGTTCCACCCTTTCTTCGCCGGCGGCGCCCCGCCCCCGCCCAGCCCCGGCGCCGGGGGTGCCAGCCCGCGCCCGGCGCTCGGGCGCCAGGGCAGCGGCGCGTTCGGCTGCGGCGGCGGCAGCCCGCGCGTCGGC